GGCTCGGCTCGTTGCCACCTCTAGGTACATGTTTACATAATTTTCAGTTTATAATTTTACGCATAAATTCTCTTTAACTTAATTATCATAGGGGAGACAAAGATACACCTTGACGCCTTTGTTACATGTACTGAAAGACTATGTTCCTTCTCATCCTCAACCATCAAGCTTGAGATTCAACATGTGCGATTTTTGGTAGCATCATAAACTAATATAGCCTATATTTAATTTAGTAAAAATTAATTTTAATAAAAGTTGATAAAATTGTTAAAAATTGTATATATGTGCGACTTAAAATGATTTTTAGAAAAATTTAACTTTATAAAACGAGGGCCAAACAGTGCAATAGCGTTTACACGACTTTGTAATGTGAAATAAAAGCAGGAGTATTAATCACGCAAGAAAGTAAGAGTATTAATGATGTCCACAAATGGGGACAATTTGATATGTGGATGTTAAAAGATGGAACATACAATCTCACACGTACACGTGTTTGATGTAATGTCGAACAGTAACAGAATTACATGTGATAGTAGATGATTTGATAGAAAAATTGACTATATTTTAAACTGTAAAAAAATATATATATAGGTAATGGATTACATCACATCTCAACTCCTTATTGTCAGCAAATTAATCATAACTTAAACAATATGCTCTTCCCATGTGCTGTAAAGCTGTGAATGATGGACGATCGGTGTGTTGTAGTACTTGATTGTTCTTCTGCAGAAATCTATACTCTACTTTAATTGATAACACTGTACTGGAATGGTCCTAGAGGAATTAATGCATGGTTTTCAGCTAAGGCCTGACAATTTGACCTGTTGGTAAAGAAAAAGAAAAAGAAAAAAAAAACAAAAAAAAGAGTAAAATCCTCTTCCTTGATCCTTTACTTTAACAATTTTGCTAAATGTACCGTCCCCCTTCATAGTGAATTTCACAGTCCTCTCACACGTGGATGAGGTGTGAGCCCCACCTCCATGTGAGTGGACTCTGAAGGAGGCTATGAAAGTGGACTCTGAAGGAAGCTATGAAAGGGGACTGTAAATGTAGCATTGTTCTTACTTTAATTCAATTACACATTCAATGAAATTCACAATTTTTATCAATTTTTTAACTATCTATTTATTTGATGAGGATTAAAATCAGATTTTAGTATATTTTAGCTCCTGTTTGGTACATATTTTTTCTTAAGAACGCAAATATGATGGGGAATATGTAGTTGAAAAATAAGCAAATGTTATTGATGTAATGAAAAATATTATTTTGTTGAAAAATGTGTGGTTGAAAATGAGTAAAAGAATGAGAATGAAAAAATAATGCGGCTTAAATAGGGGCTTAATAAGAGTGTGTTTGGTAGGGATTTTTGGGGGAAAAATTGATTTTTGAATAGGGATATGATGGGAATGTGTGGTTGAAAAAAAAGAAAAAATTATTGATGTGATGGAAAATATTATTTTATTGAAGAATGTGTGGTTGAAAATGAGAATTGATTTACTGTAGAAAATCAAAACCCATACCAAACAGGCTCTAAATGTTGAGGAACATGTGATTGAAAAGTTGCGTTTCTCATTAAACACGTGGTTAAATTTAATTGTTAATTTTGATTTAGATTAAACTCTTGATTTTAATATTTATCAAATAGGGGTTATATATATCATTAACTTTTATCAAAATCTACACAAACTTTTATCAACTTTTTTTTCTTGGAGAAGCCCTTAATATTATTCAATATTTGCCTAATCCACATTACTTTGACTGAAATTAGAGATTCTTTAAAATCTTGGCTTAAAACTTGTAACATTTACTTGTGGCAAGATCTTAGTAATGAGAAGAAACTGGGTGGCATAAATCCAGCAACAGTGACAGAAAAATAGTTTACAAATTCAGAAAAATTCTGGACTGCACTCAAAGTAAGATCAAATTTTACCATATATGAATCAAACTTGAACTTTAGCAAAAGTTCAACATGCATCATCGTCTAGGTTTAGACAACACTTTATGATAAGTTTTATAACCAATCCACCAAAAAAGAAAGCTTCTGGAATATATATATACACATCAATAATATGTTTCGCACCATGGATTGGACAAGACTTGACTGAGCTCGAGAATTTTAAAATTATATTCTTAGTACCGTCCAGTCATGCCCAATCCAACTTACCAAGCATTCTTTGATATGGTCAGACAAATCAGGCAAAACAAAAGAAATCAATACTAACAAGAAATAGGAAACAGGCTAAGATCTGCAGATATTGTTCACCATGATCCTCCAGCCAACATTTTGTTCCAGTATCCATTGATGGATTCTCCTTGCCCTCTATCCTGCTCGAATTCGGACGTCGGAACTTGCTTCGAATCCTCAATAAAGAAAGGGAATCTAGGGTTAGTATTTTGAAAACCACCTCCCAAATTTCCATAACCACTTTCAAGCCCATCTGAGGAAAAATTAAGGCTTGGTAATTTGAATCCATGCAATGGAAATCCAGATGGCGGATCCATCGTGTTAGAACCCAAACCCGAGACCGACGCCGGCATGGACTTGATATTAGAATTGATCAATTCCCTTGAAGTGAGAAGTTCCATTACTTCATTATTAGATGAAAAGGAAGAAAAACTAGGGTTTGGATAATTTAGTGTCGTGCTGTTATCACTATAGGGCAAAGCAACAAATCCAGGAACCTTATTGGTGAATGGATAAGCTAAATTCAAATTCTGACCCTCATAAATCTTAGGGTTTTGATCAGAAGACTGAGAAAAGCTTAGATCTGCAGGAAGCTTCTTTGATGACGACGACGACGACGATTTCTTCGTCTTTCGTGAGCTGCCACCCACCGGAACATTCCTTAAAGTACCCCCTTCAGTCCAGTACCTTCTACAAGTCTTACAAAAGTGTCTTGGCTGAGACAAACTATAATTGTTGTAATAACAGAATTTTGTGTTAGAAGAGTTGCATCTTGGACAGTCTTTTTGTGGCCTAATTGGCTTTCCTTCAATACCCTAAATAAATAGACAAGAAAACACCATCAGTGTGTGTGATCAAAACCAAGAATTAATTTCAGATTGAAAAAAAAAAAGAGAGAAGATTCAAAAGCAGTAAACAAACAAACAAGCGAAACAAAAATAAGTGAATTCATTTACTTTTGAGACATTGAACAAAGCAATAAAACAACTTAAAATTAGCTTTACTGAAAACCCTTCTGTACTGATGTTGAAAAGGTGAAAGAAAAAGTTGAGAACTTTTTTCTATCCATGTGAATCATAAATTCAAAGCAAAGGTTTAGTAGTGGAGTCTGATAATCTGTTAGCAAAAGTTGCTTTTACTTTTGTCATCAACACTTTTTTTTTTTTCCTTTTTCAGTTAATCAAAAGCAAAAATAAGCTAAATTACTCGAGAAAATCCAAACCCTAGAAAGATGTGATCATGATATCATTGAAAAAAGAGGCATATGTTCATTTACCTGTGGCCACTTAGCAGTATCCATAGCAGCAAAAAAAAAAAGGAAGAGAAAAAAGTGTGGAGAGTCTTGAAAGAGAGAAAAATCACCAACTTTTGATCAACTCGTCTAAAAGCAAGAAAGCAACTTGAAGGGTTGGCGTTTTTCTTTATCAGCAGTCAGCGCCCGTTGGGGGTGGGGGCGGGGTGAGTTACTAAGAGGGTTGTTCTTGTCCACTTGCCAATATTTTAGTATCATTTAGTGTCATAATTCATTGAAGATCTTATTTTTGTAGCTTCATTATTTTGTCATTATTAAATTCCGATTTGGTTTAACTAAAAAAATTGATTAAATTTTAAGTTAAAATTAAATGGTACCCAAGATTATTTTTCAACGTTTAAATCATACATATCGTCAGCTTTTTTTTTTTTTCCCCAAATCGGACTAAATTATTACTTTGTAAATTGTGGGTAAATGAAATGGGCAAAATGGTAATTACATTACTTCATTCCCCCACACTCATGTAAAAGTCTAAATTTTGGTATGAAAGGTGCTACGCCACCTAAAAATAGTTTAGATGAACTGAAATTCGACTATCTTATTTAATTATATAATTAATATACGAAATAAGTTGGAACTCGTCCATTCAATAAAGTGTGTGTTTGTCTCCCATTATCGTAGAAGAAATGAAGTAATGAATAGTGTATTTTAGAGAATGTGTGTTTGAAATTTAAAGTAATTTTATTGGTCTGTGTGTAGAATATTTTATTGGATAAATGTGTGATGAAAAATCTTAACGTAACAAATAATATTTTGAAATAATGCACGGATTGTTATTGCTTAAATTCACCAACGGAACAACTCTAAAGCACTAGCGAGACATTATCAAGCTCACGGGATGACTCTAAAATTATCAATATGTACGTCCCTATTTGATGAATTAATTCGAAGATACGGAACTTTTAGTTTTTGAACTCGACTTGATCGTCGATCCAATCGAAATATTGTGTCACTCGTTCAAATGGGGCTTTGGTAGGGTCATTTGCAGATTGATCTGTTGAGCAATCCAAATCGAGTTGAACCTTGAATCAGATCCAATCCCATTGTCTGAACTTATCTCAAAAGAACGAGATAAATATATAGAAACATAGAAAAAGGCGCAGCTGATAGTTAAGTAAGGAAATAGAAGACAAATCGCATTGTTAGACTCTTTCGAGTAGAAATTTAACCCTCAACTTTTAAAAATTCACTTGTCATCTTTATATCATTTGGGTAGCACACTTCATTGAAGATGTTCACTCTATATGTATGAAAGACTTATCGACTTTAAGGACTATTCAACCAAGATTCAGATAGTTTGAGCGTGCAAGATAAATCGTGAAACAATAATAAAATGTTGCAACTTTAAAATGTTAGATAATAATGTTCTATTATCTTTATCATTTTCAAACCGTTTTCTATTATCAATTTTCCAAAACAGTAAAAACGCTTTCTCTTTCCTATTTTTGAAAAAAAAGTTAAAAATTTACAAAGAAAACTCAAAATAACAAATTTGTCGTTTTGAGTGTTTTCAGTTATAATCAAGCCAAAATTTTAAAAATGCGTTTTGGGTGTTTTCAAAACAAATTTTCAAAATGTCAAAAAGAACATATTTTCAACAATCTCAAAATGAACGCTCAAACACAAAACCCAAAATGAATGTAAAACTCAAAACACAAAACTAAAATACAAAGACAACGTCCTCAACTTACTTCTCAAACATTGAATTAGAGATCAGTAGTGCAATATTCCTTAACAATTGTATGATGTTGAAATTCTCCAAACAGAAATTTCAACTATTTGCTATTTAGTGGAATAGCAGTCTTATTTTGGTTTGGGGAAAAAAAATGTGGACACTTTTTGTACTCTTGGATATCGGTGAATTTGTCATTTTCAATGAAATTTCAATTGGATCACTAAACTTTAATTTGTCTCAATTGGACAAATGAACTTCAATAATTTTAAATTTCATCGTTTCACCCTGAAATTGATGAAAATCACTTAATGAACGGGCCATACTGCAGCAGATTTCCCAAGTGAATTGATAAGTGCGTTTTGTGCGCTTATTCAAGACAAATTACTAAACTTTTGTGTCGTCTAAACGTTAAATTTTACTTAACTTTGGTTAATTTTATTTTGTTTTAGTGTTGGACCCGTTTCTAAATCTAAACATTTGGAAAAGAAAGAGGATGAAATTGAATAAAAGCTATAATTTTGGGATCAAATTCCATACTTTAGAATTGAAGAGGACATGGGATGCACAAATAAATGAACTCGAGGACTAAATTGCATTAATTGGAAAAAGTGAAGCCTTGGAGACAAACACCATTGCCACTTGGACTTGCAATTAGAATAAACTTCAAAATGAATTAGGGTACTAAGTGGCTCAATAAAAATAAAAATAAAAATAAAAAGGAAGAAAAAGAAAAACGCACGTGGCTGAAGGAATTTGAGAGACAGAAATTGAGCGGATTATGTGGGAATTGGACTTCTCAAGGAACAAAACAGGTGGGCGGCTGATATTATAAAAGGAATTGGATTCCTTGTTGCACTCAAAATTGGACTACAAAATTCGGCGACTGAATGGGAAATATAAATAACAGGCATAAGGCAATCGCTGGAGGGAATTGGACAGGAAAATAGGGGGGCTGCGTGTCACGGATCACAAGGTGATGTCCTAAAATCTAGCA